CTATTGCCAATCCTCCTCCTTTTTTTTCCCCCAAAGCCCCAGTAGATAGTTGTATGTCATAGTTGCACATCTTTCTAGTTGCTGTATGTGGGACGTGGCCTCAGCATGGCAGGAGAAGCGGTGCGTCGGTGCGTGCCCGGGATCCGAACCCGGGCCACCAGTAGCGGAGGGCGCGCACTTAACCGCTAAGCCACGGGGCTGGCCCCCCACAATCCTTAAGTTCTGAGTTAATCCAACTTATTTGCTATAGCTTTCTCACTACCTCTAACTTGTCAATATATAATGTGACTCTCCAATAATAAGATATAGTATGTAAGGAGTGTATTTGCAAATGTATTGAATCATAGAAGCCTCTTTTCAGAACCAGGGTTCCATAAAACATTCTTGGGAAATAACGCTTTCACCAATCAGCTGCAGCAGTATGAAGAGAACACAGTAGAAAAGTTGAATGAATATGGAGATTAATAAGGAGTCAGGTGAGACTTCAGGACCATGAGTTGAACTATTTAAGGAAGTAACGTTTATATCATGGCCTTGAATTTGAAGTACAAATATTTGTACTTTGTACAAATTTGTACAAATTTGAATTTGAAGGACAAAATTGAGAAAGAAGTCTAAGGGTCAATAAAGGTAGGCCTTAAATAGCAAACTAAAGATTTGAATTTTATTCTGTGAAAAGAGGAGCTAATGAAAGTTTTGGTGCAAAGGGGGCTGGATGGTTGCCCTTTAATGATCAGATGTGGCATGGAATGAACAGACAAGAGTCAAGAATTGGAACTGAAAGACCAGTCAAGCGATACCTGAGCTGAGATAACAAGTGTCTGAACTAAGGCAGGAATGAAGTTTGGGAGGAGTGGGGTGATTATATGATTTTTGAATCAAGTGCTCAGGGTTTTACAGTCCATTGTACCCTGAAAGTTTTTTTTTCCTTAGCCTGAACTCTGTTCCTTTCAAGATCAGAACTTACGGTTGATCTCAAAAGACAGCTTTGTCCCTTGCTATACAATTAAACTTGGGTTTCTTCCTGAGCTGCCCCCATCTGCACACCTTTTGTTATTGGGACACAAGACTGGCACATACTATTTCTTTCTGAAAATGACATGAGAAGTATGGATTCACACTATGCAGGACAGTGCTTCCACCATTGCCCGTGAGATGGAATAACCTAACAGGAAAAAGACATGAGGCATAATCAGTTTTATCCTCCATGAAGAAGTTATTACACAAATAATGAGGCAGAACCTCTCCAATTTTAATAATAATGGAGTGGATATCATTGAGATTACTGAATCAAATTAATGAATTAGCTACTGATAAGAATAAAACAACAAGATAATAAATGCAAGGTTATTTTTTGCACCCAAATGCCCTTTAAACATATGACTTGAGAAGAGTAATCAAGTTTCAATTCCTAATCAGCTATATCCTTTCCTTTAAATAAGAGAAAATAGCACATAAGTGTCATTAGAGGTATAGGGCTGAAATTATTCCTTTTTGAAGTGGAACATGCAAGGGAGATAATAATAATGCGTATGGTCAAGGGCAGCGAACTTAGGTGAGAGGCTACAAAGCAAGGCTCAAGTCAGTTACTTCTTTGCAAAGGAAGAGCCTTCACAGATGGAGGCAACAAAACCTCAGCTTCCTGTGTTCCATTTCCAATTCACACCCTCTTCTGTTTCTCTGGTCATTAATTACTATACTCCTCCCTTTGTGCTCACAAAGGGGCACAAAACTACTCATCAGGCAGTGGGAAAAATGACAACCAGTAGCATTCTAGACATTTCATTATTCAAATCAGCAGAAAATGATTATATGAAATCCCCAGGAAATTGAAGTGGCCTTTTTTTCACTTTTAAAACTGTACTTTGACTAATAGAAAGTCTGTCTTACTTAATATCATCTAACAAGACCTCCTCAAACATATCTCTCTTCCTTGACCACAGTTATATATAATCTGGAGCATTATAAAATGTTCTCCTGATCTAAACTAGCAACATGACTAGATTCATTATTCACTTTAAACTAATGAGATTATTCGTTCAAGGGATGTTATTAATGGATTGCATAATATCCATCAGATAAAGTACTAATACAATGTTGAAAGCAAGCAAATTAAGTCATCATAGGCCTTGAAAAGCAATGACTGAGCCTGCCATGATAGTCTGATCTGCAGGAAATTCGGATTTAAACAATACCTCAGACTGTTTTTTCCTATTATTATTTTTTGTGTGTGTGAAATAAATCTGTGAAGCCGACAAAGACTAACGAAAAGTACAAATTTGAACTTCTAATGAATACAATGACATTTGAAAGTCTCAAAGGTCACCCTCATAACACTAAAGTCATTCCACTGAAGTCAAAAACAATTTAAAAATATTTGGAGAAAGTGCCAAGCAATGTCATCAGTCCATATTGGCCAGAGGCAAAGGGTAAGAGATGAGGCAGAGATGTTCCACATTTTATTATAACCTATAATCAATTGTAGCCTTTTCTTATTAGAAGCATTCAACAATCATTAAAAAAAATTGTCACCCATATGGTGATATTTTGACATGCCACATATCTTACATAGTTTTAACAACAAATACCATGATGAAGCATTAAAATATCTTTGCTCATGTGTGTCTATGTGTGTCTGTGTTTCCCAGAAAGAAAACTCGGCAGTGAAATGATAGCTTACATTTGTATGGCAGCATAATTTACAACTGCATTACCCCTTTGGATTTTAAAACTCTCCTGTGAAGTTGGTAAGAAAAGTATTTTTTCTCCATTTTGCAAATAAACAAAGACAGTAAGAGACTAGTCCAAAATCACCTGATATATGGATTCAAAATCCCGAGATCTTTTCACTGAGCTTTGCTCTCCCCTGGTTTGCCCTTTGGGTGGTAGAAAGGGCAGAAATGTCACCTCCCTTTAAAGAGGAGACTAAAAATGCAATGACAGAAACAGCAATGACCCCCGGTGAAAAAAGGCTCCTGACAAAATTCTGACTGGTCTCTTGATTTATTAAAAGCACTGCTCAGAGCAAAAGGAAATAAAACTTATACAATTTTTAAGTTCCCTCTCAAACTTATGGAATCAGATTGTTGAACTTGATTCTTTAAGCTGATATTAATGCTAGGTCACGAGCTAGCATTAAAGCATATTACATATATATGTGCACACATACATTATGTATAGATACATATTTTTTCCAAAGGGATATTAAATCATTCACCTTATCTTCAGAATAATATTTAAACACATTGCAAAATAGCACAGATGAAAAATGAGCCACCCAACCCCCAGGAATTTGATTTTATGACTGACTTAGGACAGATAATTAAAACAATAATAATTACAAAAATGAATCTGTTCTCCTTGACCAAAAAAATCTATCTGCTAAGAATAGGTCATTTTGACTTACACATGTAAATTTTATAATACCACTACCTTGCTTTGATATAGTATTTTAATTTTTCAGCAGGCTTTCACATGCTAATATACACTGTTATGCTTCTGGGTTTAATGAGAAAATCTTCATCTTCCTATCTCTGGGCCTCACCTTGTGAAGTCTGTCATTTCCATCATGATCATACACATCTGCTTGGCCAGCACAATTATATCATTGCCACTGTCGTCCCATTTGGCCACTTCAGCATCCAGCTTGCTTTTCTCTTGGTGGAATATCTCCACCTGCTCAGCTATTTTTGCCTTCTCCTCCTGTGGTAGTTGCGCCATGATGGCCTGTGTGGGTTACAGAAAATGTATGACTAATGGTGACAAAGGAAGTACATACAGTAGGTCAACTCTGCCTCCAGTTAATGGCAAAGCTAGACCCTGACAAGGTTTATAGGCTCCCACCATTCTGGAAATTACGTGTTCTCCAAACCCCAGGAAGGGAAAAGCACAGACTGGTAAGGTCTCTAGATCCCTGTCCCCACTCCCACATACAAAGAATATAGAGATCCAAAGGTACATGCACATTGACAGTAACAGAACTTCTCTGTCACTTTGATGACATATGTTTGTTCAAAAGAATCTATTCTTGACAATTTTTATATTTGGTCTCAGGAAACTTTTACCAGATGAAAGAATGCACCTCTTTCAACATTGAAATCTGCTCAGAGAAGGAAAAAAAGAAAAAAGGCCTTCTGTCACTGGGAAGGGGAGGAATTTTAAACAATATCTGAGTATCCAAGTGGGGTGGGGTGGATTGGGGAGACTTTCTATGAGTGTTAATGATGGAGTCCATGGGTAGATGCCAAACCCAGGGCATTTTAGGGATGGCATACCTATTCCCAGCTCTCCCCCACCTCCTTTATGGAAATCCTGGGATGACCATGGCTCTCTGTAGAGCCTACGAGTATGTGGATGGAGAAGTTGTTATGGGATAAAATATAGGACTGGAAACAAGGGTTGATTTTCAATAAGTGATAGGTAAGGGAATATAGAAAGGAAGAACTACAGTCTTTTCTCATTATTCATGGATTATTTATTTGCATATTTGCCTATTCCCTAAAATTTATTTGCAACCCCAAAACTAATACTTGTGGTACTTTCACAGTCATTCAGAGACATGCACAAAGCTGCAAAAAGTTCGAGTTACACAACATGCACGTTCCCAGATGAGGCTGAACAAGGGATTCTCTGCCCTCTTGTTTCAACACTCATACTATAAACAAGCGTCCTTTCTGTGGTCTACTTAGTGCCACATTTTCCATATCTTTTTACTTTTTGTTGGTGATTTTGCTGTTTAACATAGCCCCCAAGCATAGTGATGAAGTGCTGTCTAATGTCCCCAAGCACAAGAAGGTTGTGATGTGCTTTATGGAGAGAATACATGTATTAGATAAGCTTCATTCAGGCATGAGGTATGGTGCTCTTGGCTGTGAGTTCAATGTTAATGAATCAAAACTATAAAATAACATATCTAAACAAAAACACTCATTAAACAAGATTATGTATTGCTTGATTGGAAAAAATGTCGAGACTAGCAGCTCTCAGGAACCTAACCCTGTATTTCCCCTAGGAGCGATGATTCAGTAGTTACTAATTAAGTGTTCATGGTGACTTTATAGAACGTAAGTACCGTGAATAAAGAGAATCAACTGTACTTTTTAAAAGCCATTTATGCAGCAGGTCCTGAGGGAAATGTTTGACATCACCTCATTGCATCCTCACAGAACCATGTGCAACCCGCTTCACAGAGGAGCATGCAGAAAGTATGTCAATACTAGCATCCCTTAGGTTCTGGGATACATGTATTCTCCAGAAGAGAGACCAAGGGAGCATGATTTGGAGGACATAGAGCTTTCACAAAGGATAAGTAAAATAACACAGAAAAACTACTTCCTAAACTGTAAAGTTCCTCCCATTGTGAGTAAATTGTTTGAAGGAGAGGTAGCTGATGTCTAAGAGAAATACCAGTGGACATAAGCTCAGAAAAACTGGGCTCAACTAGACTGTGTCACAGACTTGGGTCAAGACCTTATGGCTACTGGATCATAACCTTAAGGATTTCAGATATAAGAATAGTAAACAATTACCTCAAAATGTTATGGTGGACAGCAAATGAAATAATAAATGAGTTAAATGATTTGTCCAAAAAAAATTAAACATGTATGGGATTATTGTTAGCATTACATTATCATCATTTCCATATTAGTTTTCCTTTGCAGGTACTCCTCTAGCTTATTACTTAGTTGCCATCAAAGAGAAGGTATGGGCCCAGAGTCTATGTGAATATCTATAAATAGGAGATTGACATGATTCCTTGAGTACAGACACGTATACTGGGTACTGTGCTAAGAGGCACAAAAAAACTTAATCTACTTAATCATTCTATAAGATTAATACTATTATTACCTCTATTTTATATAATTAATGATGATACCAAGACTCAGAGAAATTAATTAAATTCCCAGTATTATACAACTAATAAACTGTAGGAATAGCATTAAAATCCGGGTCAGCTAACATGGTACTTAACCATTGTACTTAACCAAAAAACTGGATCACCACGCATGACCATGCAGGTTAGACACTGCACAATGGTCCTGGCCCAGGGGGGCAAGGGTCACTGAAATCACCAGTGCTGTCTACCAGGCTGACCATCCTAGAGATGAGCCTTCATCTGCCCAGAGTGAGGGTATCTTGGTCTGATTTGCATAAAGGTGTCCTTGGACTAGCAGCTGCCCAGATGCTACTTCTTACTAATAGACAGCCATGTCTACTAACTTCCATGCATGCATGTGTGTGACTTTATATAAATAGTATACGAGTATGGTGTGTGTATATGATGTGTATGTGTGAGTGTGTCTGTGTGTACACACAAATTACAATCCATATTTAAAAAGCCACACTGGTACAAATACTACAGTTAAAGTATTTAAAATACTATATTTTGAAAAAATATTTTAAAGTACTTTTAAAAACTGTATTTATAAAGGTGGTTAATATACAAAAGAGTTTGTTGTAAACTCACTTATGCAATATTGCACTAATAACAAGGCAGCTACTCCAATGCATTTAAGATAGGTTTGGATTTGCAGAAGTTAAGTATGCACTTTTTTCCTGAAGCATCCTTGTCTGATGATCTAACTCTGTCCTTGATTAATTTATCCTCCTTATACAAAATTGATAGTTATGTTTTACTTAGACTTCACAAGTTTTAAGCAGCATGATTTAAAGCATTCACTAGGTGTTTCTCTGTAAAAGAATCCATAAAACTACCCGGCAGACCTCCAGACTCTAAAGTCAATCCCCAGATGGAAAGCAGTGCCTCTCATTGCTCCAGAAGGATTAAAGGGTATACACTTCTCTGTCAACTATATCACTTGAGTTTCAATTGTACAATTTAGCATTTGAATATTGTCTGCCTTGCTCTACTTTCTAATTCCTACTAATGCCCTACCTCTGACTTCTCTCTGAGCTTCCTTAGGGTAGAGGCCTCAGCGTCCTGCACAGAGTAGAAGCTCAATCAATATATTTTGACAGACTGCTTAAACATTCTTCCACTCATGTCATCAACATAATTTGAGAGAAGTTGCCAGAACTGACAAACATTTTCTAAGGGCACAATTCTGAAGAAAAACTGGTCCCTTCAAAGCAGATTTGCAAAGGAAAATGTTCTTTTGACTCTAGGGGTGCTTGATCCGCATGATACACTTAATGCTGTGTGACTTGGGTGCAAAGCGTCATTACTTTTGCTTCTGCTGAGGTAGCTATCGATGAGCTGGAGTCTTTTCCTAAATATTCTTAAAATGCTCTTGCCTTTAAAAAATTCATAATTGACCTTTTCTGAAACTGGAATTGAATAAAAGGTTATCTATAAACAGTAGATCACAAACTGTGAAATTTGCAAGTTAATCAAATTAAAATTCAACACATGAGTTTTAATTAGGTCTTATCAATGTAACTCAGCAGTTTGAAATGTTAACACATTGAAGCCGTTCTGGCTAGAAAAAAAAAATTAGAGGCTGGCTACACTAAAATCAAGTTGAACACAAAATACAACACATGCAATTGTTTATTCCCTCCAACTAGGGGAACGTGAGAAAAATTATTTTCATGGCCAAGAAGAGAGGGAACAAATCAGCTTTTCTGTTTGTGTTATATAATCACCTGGGGCCGTCTGAGTTTCTGCTGCTTCTATTCACAGGAACCAAGCACAGCTCTCTAGATTGTTAATCTGATTGATCTGCGGCCCCATATTGGTGGCATCAGAGCCTTGAATCCACAAAGTTTCCTACCCCCGCACCCCAGGCTCCCAGCCTTTCCTCTGAACAGCCAACCATTTTTTGTGATTAATGTTATAAACTCTACTTGTTAAATGAAAGTGCAAATCACTGATAGAAGCCAGCAACCACTCACGCCAGAATCTTTTTGTCAACCTAAATCTCAAGGAGCTTTTGATATAATTCTTTTTCCAATCTCAAAGAGAAAAATGACTTTTGAAGTCTATGGGCCTCCAAATGGACAAGTGTTAGTTTCTTAAATGCAGAGCAAGAGTCTAACATTAAGCCTTCAAGTACATGAATGTTTATAAATAACGATTAAAAGAACTAAAACTCAATGTGCCCATTTCTACTCACTTGGTTTTAAAGCAGGATAATAAATATAAGTAGTTAAGGAGTGGGTCCTTTGACTTCTACTAGTCTCAGGCTGTGAAGTGAATTGGAAAATTGTCCCATTAACTCAAGTAAAAACTTTCAGAATTGCCTAAATTATCCAGCTCTTTCAGATTAAATTATTTGGCCAGCCTTCTAATAAATGACTACCTTACACTACAAGCATCATCATCATCATCTTCATCAACTTAACATTATGTGACAAGTTTTGTTATACATTTTATTATGCAGTTCTCCTAATGACATTATGAGGTAGGATACTCATAGATATGAGTACATATCTCATAGATATGTCTACAAGGAGATGAGGGAAGGAGAGGTTAAGAAAATTGCCCCCAAATCACACAGCTTGGCCAAGCCCATATTTAAAATAAAGTCTGTGTGACTCCAAATAATGTATTCTATCACCAAGGTTAAGTGCCCAAGAGATGTCACTGACCAACTTTATCTATACCAACCTGTGAAGAAAGAGTTTATAAGATTTCGCGTCTAGGATCAAAGGGTCTGATTGCTTCTATATTTTATCAGATCAGGGTATGATCATTCTCATTCTCTCTCATAAAATGTTGTAGAGAAGCAGCAGACAAGCACACATAAAAGAAATAAATACTCTAATTTCAGAATTTGAGAGCAATGTTGGAACGGGTACTAAAAGCTTTCTCCCACCTTTACCTCCTTGCAGATTAATTTACCATTTTCAGAGAGGAAGAATTTGCCTGAATGAGAACACAAAACAAGGGCCATTAACAGGGGGGGACTGGCTGCTAGAAAGAGCAACAGCCTCTGTCAAAGACAACTTCTGCCTCCTTCACAATTTTGACCAAGTTAGCACACTTCTCTGGTCAAACGTTCGACCATCTGTCATCTGAGCAATTCAACGCACCCTCTTATTTCCAACTTACAGTCATAATTCTATGTCTCTGATTTGTCCTCCTATAATTACAGGCTAAAATAGGCTGACTCAATAACTAATCCTGTCTGCTGCAAGTTAATCACCCAGACCACATCATGGATCTCAAAGACAAGTCAGCAAGTGCTGGATTACAAGGGGTACTTTGTTCTTACTATCCTGGACCATGTTCACAATTCATGCTGAAAAGTCTTTCAAAAAAGACTATTGTCTTTTCACCTATTGGGTGAAGAAATAATAGATGATGTAGACAGGTGCTATCTGACTTTTGTTTCCACCCATCATAATTGACTTGATGTCTAATGTAAGTAAGATGTGTGAAATGGAAGTACAACGAGATCATATTCTTCCTTGTAAAAAATGGGACTAATCATGTCATTTTGACAAGATGGTGATGATAAGGCAAGACAAGGGTTGTACAATATGCCTTTGTTTTTGAGAAAACAAATCAATGGATACTGGGCTGTATCAATACTGAGTTGCAGTCAGTCAATCAAATTGACTTTGAATTGATTAACGTTTGGATGAATTACTCAAACTTGCCCTTTGTCATTGACATAACAATGCCGGTTTTACTTAATTTTGAAGATGAATTGACTTGGTTGATGAATTAGTTTAGTGTTACACCAACACCGGCTCAAAAGACTCTCAGCTTAATGAAGTTCCCAATTTTCAACATTTTGGGGGAGATTAAATAGAGTCTACAAGGGATTTTCAAAGTAGGGAGCTTCATACTCTTTTGTGCACTTTTCTACTGTCACCGGCCTGTGATCAGAAGAGATTTCTTTTCTAAAAGATGACAATTTTCAGAGTCATCTTTTATTGAGAACTTAATGTATGTCAGGTATTGTGCTCATTATTTTATAAATATTAAATAATTAAAACCACAAAAGAATCCTATCAATTAAGTCTATTATTCACATTTTACAGATGATAGGACTGAAGCTCAGAGAAATTAAGCAGCATGTAATAGAGCATGGTCCTCATTCTACCCTTTGCGATTCAAAACCAAGTCTGTCTGAAATCAAAGCCAGTGCATCTTTAGTTTTCTTGCCTTTACCCTCATATTTCCCCTACCAATGCCTGTCTAGATCTTCTGGATCATTTAATTGTTGGATGAGACTATCAGGATATAAGGCACAAAAGAGAAATTGGGTTTTAAGTACCAACACTTCCTCAACTCAACAAAACGCTTAGTCTTCTTTGAGTCCTCTTTATCTTAACCTCTGGCTGACTGTTTCCTACTCTTCTTTCACAATTCCCAAACCAGTGTGAACTTTCTGGGGTTTCCTAATCCCTGTTCCAAATTACTACCTCTTTCTCAACCTCACGCTTCCTATTCATTATCTTTCCTTAGTAAAACTTAACGTCAAGAATTAGAATATCTAATTCTCAGTTTTTCTATAATTTGACTGTTTTTACTCTATGGAAGCTGAGCCTTTAAAGGGAGGAGAATCTCACCCTCTTTGGCAACCCCCAGGAATTTCATCTCCCCCCATCTGCCTTGATTACCTGCATCTGCTCTCAAGGAGATACACCTAACTGGATTGGTCAGATTCCAGGATCCTCTTTGGAACATTTGTGCTGGTAGACAGTGTCACGGAGAGTTCAGGAATGTTCAAATGTCAGCCAGAGTGGTGATCTTTCTGTTGCTTTCTGCTTTACGCCTTAAGCTGGCATATTTCTAGTATGTCTCTGTAATTTCTTTTTCTATCACATGGAAGACAGATCTAGGGCTACTGCCCTGACCATAGGTAGATATCAAGGGGAAAAAAGTTCTCTCTCTACTCTGATGGTCTTGAACCAATTTTAAAAGACGTAGTCTTGTTTATCAGAGACCGTAGGCCAGAGTATGGAGCAACAGCCCAGCCAGTAACAAAGCAGGACTCTAATTCTCCATTTGTCCTTGCCTCTTGTGTTGTTAAGAAGCTTGGAGACTTCAAGGAGAATCATGGTGTCTGTGCCAATGCCAGATCCAAGCATTCCTATGTCCCCTGGCTGTTGAACCATCTAATCACGATCCCCAACCCCAACAAAATCCACTATACACATTAAGTGTTTGCTTTGATATGGCTGCTATGTTTCGAGTGATGGAGAGAGAATGGAGTTAGAAGAACTCAGAAGCAGTGGTGGTTACTTCCATTGTGTAAAACGTTAATTGCTAAACACAACCCCAGATGAGAGCACAGATTTCTAAGCCACGAATCTCTGGGGTTCCAAGACCCTGGAAATCAGAAATTCTCTCAAACCAATTTGGTGAACGTAGCCCCTTTGCACCAAACCAAAGTCCTTGGTGTCCACTCACCCGTGCACTCTGCCCTGCGATAAGCTGGTCATCCTCGGTCTGAACACTTGTCCGGCTGCGCACGTCATAATCTTCCTGCTCAAAGTCAGAATCATCCTCTAGTTCTTCTGGGGTCTACAGATACAGAGAAAAAGAGAAACATCAGCATATTTTAAATTGATAACCTTCACACCCTCCATACACTTTGTCACTGCAAAGGCTAAGTAACCCCCAGGAAAGACAGCTCTTGGGGGATTACACGTAAGGGATTATGTGGGAGGGTATTGGCTAGAAAAGAGTCAGAAAAATCAAGCTGCCCTAATTTATCGTTTTTTAAAAAATACATATTATTTATTACTTCCTCCTGTAGGTGTAGCAAATCTAAGTTTAACTCGACATAACATGCTTTCTAATTTTAAGAAAAATTATATTTGTGTGTTATTTCCACCCATACAAATCTATTACAAGGTAAAATATCACCATCAACAACAAACGTTAAACATATACTTCTTATATAATGCCCCTTTCACTCAATTTCATTTCTCTTTTACTCTCAATAAGTAAAAAGGATTAATCATCCCCAGGCCAATGGCTAGACCTGATGAAGTACCTGATACGGTCACTAAGCTATACAGCATACAGGTTACAACCACAGACACTAGAGTAAAGACTGTTTGAATGTGAACCTCTGTGTGACCATGGACGAAATCCTCTTAGCTGTGGTTTCCAACTATGTGAATTGGTGTTGATAATAATAGCTACCTATATGATTGTTATGAAGATTAAGTAATATACCCTGTGTAGAGTGTCTGGCACATAAGAGGCATTTTTTAAATGTTTGTCAGAATTATTACTTAGGATTTTGAAATCAATTCCTTCAAACATTTCCTAAAGTGAAGCTACCAACTACTACACACCCAGCAAGGATTAAATAACTCTTTCCTATATAATATCCATTTAACTCAGACCAGCACAGTGAAATAAGCTTGGAGACTTCAAGCAGAACCATGGTGTCTGTGCCAATGCTGTATCCCCTGGCTGTTGAACCATCTAATCGTGATCCCCAACCCCAAGAAAATCCATTATACACAGATGTGTTTGCCTTGATGTGACCACTATGTTTTGAGTGACAGAAAGTTCTCATCTTTATTTAGAGATGAGAAAACCAAGATTCTAAGAAGTTAAGCAACATACCCAAATGTCCCTGAACTAGTTAATAACAGAACTAGAATTTAGACCCAAACACCAAAATCTGTCTGACTCCAAACATATTGCTCTTTATAAGTTTTGTTGTTATTATAGTTGTCTGTTTTTTCACATTACAAATTTGGCAGAACTGGAACTATAGAATGGCTTTAAAGTGAGTGGAGTTAGATGAAGATCCTGTCTAATATGTAAAGTCAGTGTTGGAGAAAAGATACAAATGAATCCATCAACCTGGAAATAAAACACCCTCCCCATCTTGAATGACAATAATAATAGATAGCATGCACTACACTTTCCACATGCCTATCACTGTTTTGTCTAAGGGCTTTCCATACACTAACTCATACAGTTTTCTTAACAGTCCTACGATGTAGACACTATTATCTCCATTTTGCAGACAGGAAAACTGAGGTATGAGAGGTTATACCTTGTTCAAAGGCTTCTTAGACAGGCAGTTTGAAACATGTTCTCTAAACTATTAAGCTCTGTTAATTCTAAGTGGATGAACTCAGGAGATGGTGAGGATGGTACATGAAGGGAAGACAGTGCATTACTGCGAGATTCTCAGCTCAACTGTCATTGACCTGAAAGGTGATGGTCGCCCACAAACTGCTTTGGCACATAGTAACGCCACCTCCCAGGGCTCTATCCTTCAAAAGGAAGAAACAGACCCCGAGCAGTACTGATGATGCAGTTGCCCATTCTCCATCCAAAAGGGAGCATTTTTATTCTGCTGGTTTCTTTGGCTACCTCAGTGTAATTAATCAGGTGTGGTTATTGATGAAGCCTTGCGATTGGTCAGACAGGCATAAAATGGGGTCCTTCATGCCAATATCACATTATGCCTAATAATTTTCCAAGCTTTGGCATATCATTCTTGTTTTCCTTTTCTCTCATCATCAAGCTTATTAATATTCACTCAGTCATCTATAGATGTTCAATTTTCTTTCACAGGAATATTAACAGAAAGAAGAAAGAGATTGTGTTCCCATGCTTTATTAACTAAAGCAAGGGTGGGGTGGGCAGAACCTGGTTCAAATAACTGGTTGTATTTTCATTGTGGACAGAGACAATAATCTCTGATCTTTCCTTACATTTCTGGAGCCTACTGCAGAATAATTACAGCAAGTTGGTAAATTCTGCGGACAGACGAGATGACAAGATTGCAAGCACTCTTCATTATTAGTTTTTGAAAAGGAGAGAGAAAAGTAAAATGGAAAATCTCACTCAACAGAAAAAAGGAGAATATGACAGTGCCTATAGTACTGTGTCCAAACATTTCAGTGATCTGTGCATTTAGTAGATGAGTCGATGACAAACACAACCTGGCAGCGTAAGGCTAATAATGATGAGCTTGTATTCAAGTGACTATGGCTCAGGAACCAAAATAAAATTTAAAACTGAGAAAAATAGTAACCAGGATGTGGACCCAGGGAACCTGAATGTTTTTGGCCAAACTTGGCCACTCATAAGTTGTTCATCTTTGGCCGGTCACTGAGAGCTTTTCTGCTTCTGTCTCCTCACACAAAAAACGGAGATAATAACTGCTACTTGCCCTGCCTACCTCATAGGATTCTAGGGTCAAATATATATGAAAATGTTTTGTAAGCGAAAAGAGTGTACTAAAGAAATACGTGATAGTGATAATTATTATGCTTAATAAAAGATATACCTAATACAACAACAACTACAATAATAATAATAGCAATCATTTTTTACCATCCACTATGGGCCAGACATTCAGCTAAAGGATTTAATTCTTACAACAATCTAATGAAATACATTTAATCCCCATTTCATAGATGCGTAAAGAGGCTCAGAGTTGTTAAGTAAATTTTCCAGGGTGTCACAACCAGCAAGTTGAGGGTTCCAGGGCCCATGCTTTTAACCATCACAAATACCACCAGGCAAATGGATGAAATTAAAATATTTTCTTCTGCCTTAAACATGCAGCAAACTCATCCAAGCTACCCATATAACTAGTTCTGTGCATAGGTAGTTTGTTAATTGCATGCAAATGTGTCTCCTACTCATGTTGTTATTTTTTTAATTATTCATTTTAAAAGTATGAGTGTTATTTTTTGGTTGGTCAAGGACCTCCATAATTTAAAGCAGACATGAAAAAATAGCAAAGGTCTGCAAACGGGCCCAGAGACAACTAGATGTGTGTCATTAGATAGTGATGGAGGATAAAAGGAATGAACTAAATGTAAAATTTACTAGACTTTGAAGGCTGGGGATTGAGAGTCAAGCTTCAGTTCTGCCCTTATGTGCTCTCAGGGAAGGTCTTTTTACAAAAATCAAAAACCACTTTGGTCTAGTCTTGATTCCCTGGTTCTACTATTATCTAACTGTTAGATTGTGAAAGTGGGTCTTATCTGCAAATGCCACAATTAAAAGTACTAGGCCTCCAAAATTCCTCCCCTCTAAGAGTCTATGAGATTAATTTGTGCCTATTACAGAGGCCCAAGAAGATCGTGTGACCTCTCCAGGGTCACGCCACACATCAGTTGAAGAACAGGATCAATCTGCCTGCCTCCGGTTCCCAATCCAATGCTCATTCTCCTCTACAACAGCCTCTGTAGAGAAGCGAAATGAGAAAAGACTAAAGGATTTCGAGTCGTTTCACCAGGACATGTGAAAAATGTATTAAGGACCATTAAAAGGAAAGGCTCAAATGTATATGAGTTTCATTATTAGCAGAAAGATTAGGATGTAGATGAGGCAACTGCAACAGGAGAGTTTGGGTGATACATGAGAAAGGATTTCCCCACAGAGCTCTACACCACTGGAATGGATTGGAAACTAGAAAACAGAATTAAAGATTCCCTAAAGCCAATATAGAACAAAAATCTCACCAGTCAGGACTGATAGGCCACTGGCATCTCTATCCTGTATTACTCTGGAGGCCTCCTAACTAATTTCCTTCCTTCTTCCCTTGCCCCATACATTCTATTCTCACCAGGGTAGCCAGGGTGGTCCCCTTAAGATCTAAGTCACACCATATTATTCTTCTGCTCAGAACCCTTTAGTGGTTCCCATCTCACTCAGTGTGGTCCTTAGGCCACATGTGCCATTCCCTCTGCCTGAAACAGGCTTCCCCTAATACCTTTCTAGCTTGTTTCCTCCTCCTTCAAGTCTCTTCTCAAATGTCACCCAGGGACCACCCTTCATAAACCCCACACCTATTCTGTGCTCTATCCCCTTTACCCTGCCTTGGTTTTCTCCATGGCACATTAACTGGCGTATTATATCTACTTGTCTCTTCTCAGTCTCCCATCCAAAGAATACAAATTCCTTGAGGATAGGGACTTTTGTCTGTTTTGCTCACCTCTGTATTCAGGATACCTCCAACACTGGGGCATGTAGTAAGCATTCAACAAATATTTGATAAATGAATGACCAAGATTGAATTACCAAAATTTTTTAAAAATCATACTAAATTATTTGTAATTAACTGAGAAAACAAAAAACTAGGCACCTTATGGGGACCACTTTGATTAACTTGATAACAGCAATCTGTAATAGGTAAATCAATTCTGTCACATAAGTTGTTTTTAGTTTCTTCAACTCTTTATTTTCTAGCTATGACAAATACTCTGAATCCTATCACTGAGATTTTGATAATATTGTTGAATTATTTAATAAAATCTGTTTCATTAATTGATGGTATGAAGATAAACTTCATCCCAGCAGGATGAGGAAAGGAAATATTTCTTGGGAACCCATAAGGGCCAGGTCTACGCTAGTGCTTTATAGCTGTGGTAATATTTGTCCCCATTTGCAGATGAGGAAACTGAGGCATGAGAAAGAAATTAGCATGCAAATGACCCAAAAGTTAAGCCATAGGTTCACAACCTTTACTGCTTCAAGCACTCTCATTGTCTCATTTTTTTTATGGTGCCTCCAGGCTAAAAAGAAAATAAAAAAAAACAAAAGACTAACAGCTCTGTTGATTAAGCAGTTAGATCATAAAAGTAGATTAAGTTGATTGGACCTAACAACTTAGTGCCTGTTGCACATTGCATGACTTCTCAAACCTTGGAATACAATTGAACATCCATTGAGGTTGCCCTTTATCACAGCAACCACCAGAAACTCAGCATCACAAACACATGTCAGCAAAAGGAACGTAACCAAACTAATGTTTAAACTGTGAACTACCTGCAGCTAATATTTCATGCAGTATCTGAGAGACCTCTGTGTTTCCTTCAATATTTAAAAATATCTCGCTGTGCTCAGGGCACCTTCATGCAAAGTTTGGGAGATGTGAAGTTAAGCTATAGACTTTTATCTGAACCCTGACCTAGGCCCTATTGTTTCTCTTCCCTGCTTTCAAAAGTTTCATATGTAACCAAATTAATGGGTTTCAATTACAAAAGTTTAGTGCATAGATATCATTATAGATTTTTTTCACGGTCATTCTTCTGAGAAGCAACCACTGTTTTGCTGAATACATATATCCTGATACCAAGATATTACTACCATCTACCCTACCCACTTATTTTAATTTCTAATATTAAATGTTTAAGTTTTTGTGTCTTAAATATACACATGGTCCTCATTATTTGCCGATTCCTTATTTGTGAATTTGCCTACTCACCAAAGTTTATTTGTAATTCCCAAATCACTACTTTTGTAGTTATTTACAGACATGTGCAATGTGGCAAAAAATTTGAGTCACCCAATGTGCACATTCCCAGCTAGTGTCAAACAGGACGATGTTCCCCTCTTGTTTCAGCTCTTATACTGTAATCAAGTATCCTTTTTGCAGTCTGTTTAATGCCACATTTTTTTGGTATTTTTGTGCTTTTTGTTGGTTATTTCTCTGCTTAAAATGGCTCTGAAGTGTAGTGCTGAAGTGTTGTTCAGTGTTCCTAAGTGCAAGAAGGCTGTGATGCACCTTACAGAGAAAATGCATTTGTTAGATAAGCTTCCTTCAGGCATGAGTTATAGCATGGTTGGCCGTGAGTTCAATGTTAATGAATCAACAATATATATTAAATAAAGTGTCTTTAAACAAAAACACACATAAACCTAGGTTATATATTGATCAGTTGAAGAAAATGTGACCAAAGGCTCACGGGAACCTAATCCTGAATTTCCCCTAGGAGCAATGTTTCAGCATTCTAATTCAGTGTTCACAGCAACCTTATAGAATATAACTGCTGCAAATGAGGAGAGTCAAATGTACATTGGTGTGCCAGGTTTGCCTATTCATTGTTTAAACTACCATGCTGGGTAATCAGAAAATTCCTGGTAGCCGATAGATCACTAAGGACAAGTCTCAGTAAAAAGCAAACAAAAAACAGTCTCATGTAAGAGGGGCAGAGCAGATCTGTTCCAAGAGAGGAGTAGGGTCCTGAAAGGTGGGGCTGGAATACAGGAAGGACAAGCTTCATCTACTTCAGAGGATTGCCTGGAGCTGGCCTGGAGCGCCTGGATGCCAACGTCACCATTAAATATGTATTGATTGCTGAGAGGCAAGGTGATGGAGAACTTGACCCCTCAAGGTCCTTTCTGCACTTATTTTTGGGAAAAAAAGATTTCTTATTTTTCCAAAGTGTAATCAACACTTTGGGAGGGAAGAAGTCACGGCCAGGTTTGCTGGGAAAGAAACAGTTCTACTTATCTTACTGTCTTTCTTCCTGACTTAGCACAATGGATATTTTTTTTTAAAGTAGACTTAATCATTATACTCAGAAAGCAAACCAAGAAATTAAGTACAAAATGAAGTCATTTGGGTGCTGAATAGAGAAGGATTTTAAAAATAACACTTTGTACATACTGTACATTTCTCTCTTCCTAAGTTTTAAGAGGTGTGAAATTCATCTGATCAAATCACTTGAAATGTCGAGATGGAGGAATGACACTTCATGTAACAAAGATATGGCACTTTATCTAAAATTATGTTTTTTTACAGCTCATAAATGAATAAATGAATGATGGCTATAAACTTCCTCAGCCTCCCAGATGAATAGTTGTCACAAAAATGTGAAGGCTAACAAAGCAGAAAAATGGCCAAAGAGGGAATATGTCTTGAGGATTATAGTGGGATTTAGTGTCAAATGCTTTGAAAACATAACTCTCATGGTCTATTACCTTATTTCACAAGTTAGTATGCAATGGAAAAAAATGATCTAATTTGTTACCAGCTTAAAAGCCTGACTATCCTTCCTTCCCTTCTCCTCTAATTCTCGTATCTTTTCTCTCTGTCACCTTCCTATCTCTCTAGGTATCTGATTTTCTTTTCCCCCTCAACACATTGTAATAAGCACTGTGCCAGACAATGCACCATAGTGAAGGGGAAATAAAAAGATAGCCTTTGCTTTCCAAAATTTCGGTCTAAAGAAGGTAATAGACATAAAAGGAAATAGTGTAATAAATATTATTACAAGCAGAAACAGTTACAGGTAATTAAAGAATAGGGTCAGTATTTTTAAGAGAGAATATCCGGGGAAAGAAGATTTGAGACAAGTTTTGAATGATAGTAAGAGTTTGACAGATCTAAAATGGGCAAGTTAGAAGAATAGGAAATACATCTGATAGTGTCCAAATTCCAAATTTGAACTTCGCATTGTCAAGTATAATCAGTATCGTCTGAAACAACTTATGGAATGCTCTGAAGGCTTTGAATTGATTGTCTAATTATTATGAAAGAGATATTTAACATGCAAACAGTCAAGTTGACTTAAAAATAAGAAGATAAGATGCTATTTGTGCTCTCAAGTGAAGGAGTTTGTGGATATTTCAGGAGAAGCATGGATGTCAATAAAGGGGGAAGAGAGACCCTTTCTGGTGATACTCTACTCCACCTGCTCAGATCACCTTGGAAGCATCATGTTGTGCTCTGAATACCAGAGCCAAAGAGGACCACACATAGATTTAATGACTTCAAGGATAACAGGATTTGGAGGAGAATTAACACCATATGTGAAATCTTGGAAGGACTAGAGATGTATTGTCCAGAGAGAATCTATCTTACAGATGCTTCTTGAAATATCTGAAGGACCACACACAGGAAATGAATTAATTGGTTGTTGCTGTTTTGCAGTGTTTGAGGGGAGGTTGGTTTTGTTGATTTAGATGCTCAATGATCTCTCAGAGAAAGTATTTCAAAATGCACTCAGCAGATACCTTGTGTTTTCATTGAGCAGCCTCAGAGACAACTGTGGAGGCTGAAGGTGAGAATACAGTCTAGGGCTGCCTTGTCCAATCTGGTGGCCATGAGCCACGTGGAGCTATTGAGCACTTTAAATGTGGCTAGTGCCACGTTTTGGATAAATTTTGGTTAAATACAATATATTATTAAAGTTAATTTCATCTATTTCTTTTTGCTTTTTCAATGTATCTACTATAAAATTAAATTACAAATGTGGCTCACAATATATTTCTATTGGACAACATGCTCTTGAGATTAGCACTGTACAAGCCTGGTCTCTGAATCAATCATAATAGCCACAAATGTATGTGTGTCATCAATTGTGCTTTTGAATATCTAAGTTTATTTGAAGAAAGAGTTCTGAGGCTAAAAAAAGTTTGAAAACTACTATGCCAAACTCTTGGTAAGGTAAGGAGAAACAAAATCTCATCTTACAACCAAATATTATGCTGCAGTTAAATGGAATGAGGTAAGCTATGTGTCTTAATAGAAATAGATGAAGGCATATTGTGGCCGAACAAAGCAAGTTGCAAATGATACTTATATGAATTTCAAAATCTACTACATGTTTTCCAGCATATATTTAATTACCTGGACAACGGTTTGGAAGGCTCACACCTACCTGACACAGAAGACTCAGGATGGGAAGAGAGTAGGGTGAGGAAGGTTTGCTGAAAGTTTGTATAGCCTTATTTATAAAGTCTTAATTATTTGTTACAAGGAGAATGCAGCTATGTATCGCTTTGTTGTCATTATTATTATCATCATTATTATAGTTATCAATATTAATTCTACTAAGCTGAGTAATCTTCATTTCTTTCCACACCATGGTTTTCTGGTCCTGATGAGAAAATCATGTTAGCAAGAGGAACATGGAGAATAGCAGGGGCACCCTAAGCTGGTATCAAATTTAGGCACCAATGTACGCAAGAAGTAGACAGGACCTCACTCTTCAGGATATTCAGTGTTAATTTAGCTTCATTGGGATCACTCCTCCCTTTATGAGTAAAGTCCCCTGTCTGACTAAATGAGAAGCCAAACAGCTTACCAAGTTATACTAAGTAATTAAAAAACAAACAAACAGTTTGTTTGGGGTCTGTATTAACAGCTCTGATCAGCTCCGAGCTACAGAGGCCTCACCTACCCTGATCATCAGCACAGCCTTTCTAATGTCCCGAACGCCGTCATACACCAGGCGAGAGGCATCGATGAACTCATTCTCCTCAAAAGGTTGAGGGACGTTGGCACTCAGGGCTTCAATGGCAACCTCCACTTGTTCAGCAAAGCGTGGCATCACTGGGTTAAACAAAGCAAAAAGCAGTGGGTTAGGCAATCATTTTTTCATGCTCCCTTGTTCCACCCCTTGGGCAAGGTGATGGGCTCTGGGCATTCCAACAGTTCAGTGGATCCAGCTGCCCACCTGTGCAGTTTGGGGTGAACATAATTTAATGGTCTTTGTGCCACTTACTTTCAGCAGGGGAAGCAAACCATTACTCCACAAATGGTGATGGTATGCAACACAGTAAGTTTTTAAAATCTGCCCAAAGTAGTGTGGTATAGTGTGCATGAGTACAGATTTCACACTATCCTAACCTGAGTTGAGTTCCACTTCTGCTAGTTACTAGCTGTGAAACCTTAACCAAGTTTTCTTAACCCTTCTAAAGCTGTTTCTCCGTCTATAAAATACAATAATGAGATCCTATCTTAGGATTCAATGGGATAATGCATACAAATGTATTGGATGGCATCTGGCCCCTATTGAAAGCCTCAATAAATGAATATGTAACTAATTTCAGATGCTGAAGTCATAGCTGGTGATCAGCAGATCTTAACCTACATGGCTTCACGATAAAATATGAATGAAATGATGCAATGCATTCCACTTTTGTCTAGAATGTGGGACTTGAAGCATTGGAGGTGAGGGGATGGCTGTGGAGGGAGGCTTGCAAAAGGACTTTGTAAGGGGGGAAGGGAAATCCCAGGACATCCAAGTAGAAATCCTATGGAAAGAGACCAGTGGGCTCAAAGATGAATTTGAATTTGTTCCATTTTACCAGGACCACTCAGTAGAAGGTCTGGAATACTTCCACTGGCTACTTAAAAAATGTTGCTGATTCACTGATTCTCAAGAATGATAATTCAATTTTCTCAGCTGTTATCTTGTAACAATCTATTCATATGGCAAATGAAAGCCAAAAGCAAGATTCATTTTATTTACAAGGACAATAAAATAGAAGCATCATTTATCTTTTCCATTTCTGAACTTTCATGCCTGATGTGTCCTTATACTCATTTTCATCCTTCTCTGGATATCTTAATATCCATTTTAATCCCTAGTGTGAGAAACTCTGCAAAATTACTTTACTCTCTTGGGTCAGAGTATTCAAGATAAAACATTCCTAGAAAAATGTATTTCTACTAGAAAAAGTCAAACATTATATGTTTATTTTTAAAAAGGTGTAGGGGGGGTTAGAAGAAAACAGAGTAACCATTCTTCCAATAGAAATGATCAAAACCAAAGTATGCATGGGGTAGATTTCCTTCTGTGAGTGAATTATTATGATTGGTTCTCTATATTATTTGAATTTTTCATTTGGGCTTTTGAACTGCTTTTATATAAAAGGAATTTGGGGGATATTGAGCTCCACTTCTGCAAATGTGAATCAAATAAAATTTCTAAAAACCACCACATTCAACTCATGCCATTTCAGCTATCCATTTGTGTTGGGAATAAACTATTTTATATGACTGAATAACCTAGATAATTGAAATTGACCTCCTTAAGCATAAAAACATTTTTGCATGTATGTGGCATTTTCACATGGGTACCTTTCCTAAATGAAATTACAAATTCCCTTCCTTTATTAAGCTGAAAATTCTGAATAATAATAACTCCATTCTATTTGATGTTTAAGCTGCCATCATGACCATGAACGATTTTACAGATTTATACCATACCATCAATAGCACTTGGCTGCATGAATTTTTATCCCTATTGCATAACTAACAAAGGATTAGTACTCCTACATGTACATAAGATAAACACGCCTACAAATCAATAAGGAAAAAGAAAAAGAGACAAAAGACCAGAATAGGCAATTCACAGAAAAAGAAATTCTATATTATTGACAAATACATAATAAGATGCTTGACTTCACTAATAATTGGAAAAATTACAATGTAAACAATGAAACATCATTTCATACCTGTTGAGAGGGGCAAACAAATTAAAGCCTAACAATATCCATTGTATTGAGCATGTGGACAAAAGGGAACACTTCTACTGCAGATGGAGTGAAAATGCGTACATGTCATTTTGGCAAACACTTTCACAAAAATCTAGTAAAATGAAGCTTTCCAGTCCCAACCAGGGAGTTGGGACACTATCTGGGGCATGGCCAAATATTGACGTCTAAAGAGATACTGCTCTATGCTAAGTCCTCTAACTCCGGAGGGGATCACTGTGAGCTGTTCACTCAAGGTTCAGGGCGGGACACTTGGGTGAGACAAAATGGACTTAGGGATGTGAATCAGGGAACAGCCAATACATCAAAGTGAATAAGTCTTGAGGTCAAAGTTTTGACTAGGAAGAACAAACTGAAAAGAGATATCATTTGTGAGAAAGTTAAAAATACACAGGAGTACTGTGCATAATTTAAACCTCTATGTGTGTTTATTACACATGTTTTGAAAGGATATACGCCACCTTAAGTATAGTGGTTACTTTTGATAGGAGAAGGAGAAACATAGGATTCAGTAGAGGTCTTAAGGAGCCCTCAAGTATATCTTAACTCTAAAAAAATAATGGGAATCAGACATGGCAAAATGTTAGTATTTGTTACACCTCAGGGTGGAAGCAGGGTATTAGTTATATTAGCCTCTGTTCCTTTTGTATCTTTGAATCTTTTCATAATTCAAATATTTAAAAAGAGATCAACATATTATCCTCAAGGCTGTATTTCTCCTTATTGAATAAGGCTCTGAAGAAATAAAGTTCTAGCTGATGGCCCAGACCATAACAGAAACTAATTTGATCAATAGTATTCAGTGAAGAATCCCCTCAGAAATTGTGACTGCAATCAAATGCTTAATATTTGACTTATAACTGCCAGCTGGAAAGGTGAGTTAGGTAGTACCCACCTCCTAGACCCAGGATCCCGTGAGCTCATCTCTATTTGTACAGAGACCTTTGATGGCGTCTAAAAGGAAGAACGGGGTTATATGTTGCTTTGTTTTGTTTGTGCAAGGTCACCCTGAAGAAGAGTTGAGGAGGAGGAAAATGAAGGAGGTGACATGCTATCTTTTTCTGCCTGCCTCTAGGTCTGATCCTGTGCCCAAGGGAGAGGAAAGAAAGGTAAAATCTAAAGGGACCATTTTCATGAGAGATGCTCTAGGGCCCAAAACATACCCAGTGCTGCTCTGAAACTCCAAGTTTGGAGAAGGGCATTCTATTTGCTCCAGCATAGAGTACAGAATCTCTCCAGGGAGAGTTAGGAGGTGGGGTCTTGGTATGAATAACAGTGTTGTTGATGTGGCATTGTCAGAAGAGGCAGAAACAAGGACCTATTGTGAAGAGATTGGACCAGAAAATACCATCAACCTTCCAAGGGGAAAAAATGGTGGAGAGAGGGGTACAGATCCTTATTTTTTAGATGGGGCCTCAGAGTGCAATTTAGCCTTAATAGTCCAATGATCTTATTATACTCCTCAAGCTGGTAAAACCTAGCACTTGAACTTATTCAATTTGATTTTGCTCACTGTAACTGACAAGACATCCATCTCTCATACCACAAGTCAGTGTTTCTCTAGGTCTGTCCCTTACAAAAATCTTACTCCAGCTCTGCTCTTAAGTGCATTTAATACGTAATTTAGTGCTTGGCCAACTTCTACTGCTCTTTAACCAACATACTTTTGATCTCCACATTGCTGTTCAATTTCCTGTGTTAGTTTTTCCTGCTTTGTTTTTAAAAGTGATAAGACGGAAAAACAAAAGTTTATAGAACAATGATCCATCTTGACAGAACCTAAGATGTCAGTTTAACTATGAATTCTTCTAACACTTTAATAGGGTCTGAAAAATTAAATACCCCCAAAGTAATACTGAGATAGAAAAAGCCTCAAACTATTTCAAATATGATGCTGATTCTGCTTCCCACTAATTAGGACAAAACACAGCATTGCCTTTGTGATTCGCACATTATATATTAACAGAGTTTCTGATATAGGATTATATAAATAGAAGCTTCTTTCTACTTTCTGAATTACATCCAAAAATGTAGATACCACTTTACCGTTATTTATCAGAAATTCTGGATTGCTCTTAATAGCTTATGTCCTGAAAGGGTGATCAAAGTTGGAAATAAACTTTTAAGTTCTCACTATACTTTTGTATGCAGAGTGCACACTGGGCCACAAAATGATGACACTCCAGGAGTAATGAAATCAGAGCTAAATATGCATACAAAAATCATTGTAGTGCTGATGGAGATCCGAAACCAGAGGTGAGGAAGATCTGGACTGAATCCTCCTGAGAGACTTCAGAGGTGAAGTTTCAGAGCACAAGGTGAATCAGTAAAATGAATGAGAAGTTGTGCTAAAGATGCAAATAGGACTGCTGACAACTGTAAGAGCAAAATCCAAGGTTAACTAGAGGTTGTGGAAATGAACGGCCAACCAACTCCACTGCCTCGGAGTAACTATTGAAAAGGTCTGTGCTCAGCTTTCAATGCTCCAAGGATTCCCTTTAACATAGCGGGGACTATACAATCTCTTTATCAAGATACAAACACAAATATCTGACACCTGCATATAACTCCTACCTGTCTCTGTCTCCCCACCTATTCCTACATATATTTAAACGTTCCTATTAGACTGAATTACTTCCATGTCTTCAAATATGACATTGAGACATACCCTGTCATACCAACATGCCCATGATCAATTTACTCTCTCAAACTGAAATGTACTTCTTTCTCTTTGGCCCAGGTGAAATCCTCCTCAATCTTCAATATCCAGTTTAGAATTGACTGCCATTGTGAAGCCTTCCTTAAGCCCCAGACACCCCAAAGTTGGCAGTTCTCTACAATTTTATAGCACCCTAATTATGCTTAGTACTTAGTACACTGTAGTAAGATTGTTTGATATTTCTGTATGTCAACTGTTTCACATATGAACCACTTTAAGGCAGAGACCATCTCTTTTTCATTCTTTGCATCTTAAACCCTTTTCATGCTTCTGGCACAGCTGATCTATCCAGTTGGGAGAAGGATGAGAAGTGAAAGAATGAGATGTAGGGA